ACGGTATGGATGTGGTGTGAAAACTGTCATGTAACTGTGCCTTGGCCAGCTCTAAGCATGGATGGGACAGGTGGCCTAACACCAACCCCTCACAGCCTACCTGATGGGCTACATCTTCACCAGAGCAGATTTTGATGGGTCCTCAGAATAACAGTGCACACAAATATGTACTTTATACTTCTAATGTTGGCACTGGGTGCTGCAACCCCCTAACCTCACAGCTGGCTTCAAAGTAAACAAGAGTTACACAAAATGAGAGCAGATAAATACAGCACTGATTCAGCAAAAAAGGTAACCCAGCTTCAGGAAAAGAAAGGTTTAGCTCAAATTCAGGATTGAAGTATCTGTTGGGAAACCTTTTTTTTTTTTAAATTATTTGAATATTGTCACTTTCCTACATGCTGTTAACTTGCTCTTATTGTCTAAAATGAAAATTGCTAGGTGTCTTAAAAAGACTGGGAATGTCTGAAAGAACAGTTATCTGTCATCCAATATCTACCATTAGGGCAGCCGATTTCAATGCACAGCTGGTGCATGGAGGTAAGATCCAGCCTTAGCACCTCACCCTGCCTCTGGAATTGAGAATAAGAGAAACCTTGCCCTTCGGAGCCCTTCATAAAGAGAGGACCCTTGCCACTTGTAGAGAAATTCAGAGTCCAAAATCAGCCCAGGGGAACTGATGCAGATGACACTGACAAAACACTGAGCAAATCCCCAAACAAAGATCTGAATTTATACTAGCATAGGAACAGAATACCAAACAGAAAATAACTTAAAGGTAAATTTTATTTAAAAAGAAACATGCTTGGTAACTCAAATATTTGTAAATCTGCCAGAAGAAACTGTCTTCCGCTTAATTTTTAGAACCAGAAAGTGGGTGTAATTCCCTGGGTTAGGAAGTATGCACAACACGGAAATAAAATTTTAATATCCCAGCTCTCAGGTTTACCAGGGAAGAATAAGAACAACCTCAAAACAGCCCAGAAGGGACTCAATCATTCCCCAGCTGCTACAGGAAAGGCAGGGGAGCAGGGGAAGGCGAATTACCAGCTTTCCAACTGCAAAGCAGGTGAGCGACAAGCCCTTTACCTCATTGAGAAGCACAACATGAACCACCATGTCCTAAAACCACAGGGTTTTACTACCTCAAATGCCCTAAAATCTGCCACAAACTTGCATCTCATCCCGTAGGGCCGGTTCTACATTTCATTTACTGACCTAGCTGGAACAGTACAAATGTGCATCCAGGCAGCTCCCGACGGATTGCCTAGCTGAAAAATGTCAGGGGGAAATAAAACAACTCACTTCCACAATTATTTCTATGACAACATTGTTAAATTGGCTCCAGAGCTGACTAGGTATGGAATATTTCAAATGTTACAAATCACAAAAGTCTTGTTTCAAAATGCCCACTTCTGGTTTGAGTCTTTCTGAAGAGCCATTATCATAAATGGAAAGATTATGTAGAGGAGAAAACAAGCAGTCCCCATCAAAACTCCTCTTCCCTGGTCGAAAATCATCCCTGAAACACATAGCTCAAAGCAATTTGAAGATAATTAAAATGCTGATGTGCAGAGACTGTTGCTTATTGTGCTGACCAACAACTAATTAATTATTTCTTTGTGATTCCAACCGTCTGTATCCATATGCCACCTATGGTGTTTATATGTTGGCATTATGTACTTTGGGTAAAGGTCTCTTCTGTGTGTGTAAAGTGTATAGCACTATTCCCTCTCATACATGATTAGTGATCCCTAATGATAATTGAAAACTGTAATTGAAAATGTAATTGAAAATATGAACAAAAAGAAGTTCAATACATTCTCTAGATTAATGAAGAGCACACCAACGGGCAAAACATCCTAATAAGACAAAGCACACCTCCTGCTAAAGAACAAAGGGAAAAGTGGCTACACACACCAGAATTCAGAGGGAAAAAAATGTCAAAATTAATTTAGCACTTCTCTCCCCTGAAATCACACTGCTGAACCCTTCAAAGCTGCAATATCTCAAACCCCAGCATCAAGCAGACAGCTCTGCGTGGCCTATTTACCCTGCTCAGTACGCAAAGTGGCACACAATCACCCTGACAACAGCCAGAGCCCGCGCGGCAGATAACTGCTGCATTTTCTTGCAGAAATAAACACACTCGGCAAACTTTTGTACTCTGTCCCAAAGTATTTGCCATACAAACCCACAGATGTTACAACGCTGCCAGTAAAAACCATTTTTGGGTTACCCGAAGCCAGGACATGAGGACAAAGAAGAAAAGAATCGAGATGCTGCACAAGACCCAAGGTCCAACCAACCCATCAGGCAGGGCTTTGAACTGCTGAAATAGTATGTCGCCCATGATAAGTGCTGCCATATGCTTAGGGGAAAAAAGTACTAGAAATAATGCATGTACAGAATGATCCTTGCATTGCCATGTAGCAGCCCATGAGATTTGAGTTCTGCCTTGGCGGGGGTCGAGGGTTCCTGTATACTTTTGCCTTGGTGCAAAGTCCTGCAGTTTGTTCAGCTGCTGCTGTTGTTGCAGCAAGTGATACAGGCAGCTGTAGTTAATTCACCTGCTAAAGCCTTCTTATCCTTTTCTTGGCACAAAAACCACTGTCCAGTGGAGTTCATCCAGAAATTCAGAAGATCATTCATTTATTAAACACTGAAATCGAAGCCTCATTGGTACCACTGACTAAGAGCCCTGTAAAACCAAATTAGCCTGTAATCCCTCTGGTTTAGATAAACTCCACTTTATTAGAACAGGAGCTTCAGGCGAAGCAGCTGTAGGTAATGGAGATTCTTTGCTTTTTAATTTACAACAGCTTACTTTGTGTTATGTTAGCGCCTAACAGCATCATTGATTAGACTGCCTTGTGTACTATGAACGATACCAATTGCTGAAGCTTTTCAACAAAGAAATTAAAATGGCCAGATCACCTGTTTTTCCTGGTATCTCTTCCCCAAGAATCTTTTCTTCAAATGCATTATGCACCCCCTGACCGCCAGCCTCTGACATGAAAGCATTTCTCTTTTACCAAAATCCTTTTATGTAACTGTTTCTGTTACTCTTCCACTGTCTGACCAAATGACCACACAAACCCCACAAAATGCGAAGTTAAATGCTGCTACTTGTGAAGCTCTGTCAATGTAATTTGCCTTGGAAGCAGAAAAGAGAAAGGAGGAGACTGTCCTGTTTCCTGAACTTTTGTGTCTTTGCTGGAATGATAATAGCTCCTTGTACTGACAAATTACTGGCGTTGAAATACAACTGTAATCCCCACATATTCTGGGCAGCTGTGGCCAGCAGGACACTGAGGTGGCTGCAGTTAGCATGACATACTGGAGCTGCCACACAACCAAAAATGAACCTTACAAACAGCTCATTTAATAAAAACGAAGATGTAAGTTGTTACTTTTATTTGTAAGACGTGCCGCAGTCACGCAAAGTTGTTAAGGTATCAAACCCATCATACTGGAGCTGCCACACAACCAAAAATGACCCTTACAAACAGCTCATTTAATAAAAACAAGGATGTAAGTTGTTACTTTTATTTTTAAGACGTGCCACGGTCACGCGAAGTTGTTAAGGTATCAAACCCAAATTTTTAGATGGGAAATACTTCACTTACACCTTGTCTTCTGAACTTATTTGCTGAGTAAACACTTCTACTAGGCAAATAATCATCTGTCACCACCCAAAAAGTGGTGGAAGCTGGCAGCTTATTCCCCAAGCCATCACCCAAAATGGGGAGCTGAGGGGATGGCGGGGCACACGGCTGGTGCAACCAGCCAAATCCAATACGAAAAGTTGATTGCCTGGATTTTGCCTCCCAATCATTTCAAGAATCATGCCTGACAGTGGGAAACCAGAAATCTATTGAAACAACTGAATTTAGGAAAAAGCTGTACTGAATTCTCTCTTTCTCAGATACATCCACACACACTGAGCAGATGGAGAAAAGACAGCGAGCTCCCTGCTAGTCACATCAGCTCAGGAGCCAGACATCACAAACACCGTCTGATCCAGCTCTTGTTGAAATCAATAAAAGCACTCTGCTAAAGACCATGGGAGATGGAAAATAACCCTCTCCGCGCTTCAGCCAGAATGTGTGAATGAGGAAAATACTGACAGCTTTCTTCCCCTCTGATTTTCACGACGTGTAAAGACCCAGATTATAAAACACAATTAGTCATCTGTGAATTTTTGATCTGCTCGCTTGGCACAAATAAAGCGCGCGTCTAGGTGTGAATCAGGGAGACGGGCATCACCTTGCACTTTGAGCAGGGAGAGATACTAGTAGCTGTGCCTGAATAGGCATTATTGCATTTCAAAGTGCTGTGGATACAGTATGTGCTACAACTAAGAAAACGGTTGGAGCGGGGAGAGAGAGAACTGAAAAAGTGTTCCTTGTTCCTAAAAAAAAAAAAAAAAAAAAAGCCATTTTGCATTGATGAAAAAGAAAGAAAAAATAAGCCAGACACCAGGATTCATCTTCTATCAGTTGGATAACCTGAAATTCAACTGGCTATTGTAAACATTTTGAAAGACTGTGACACTTACTAGAGCCTCTATCATCTCTGAAATCAAAGAAACGCTTCACAGAATTTGCTCTCGAGTGCTTCCTTGGCATCAGCTTACAATAAGCATTCAATTATTCCTGCATCCCCCAGCTCTAACAGCATTCATCACTGCAAACTCATTTGGCCAAGGACCCATTCACAGTGGCCACACTGTGTCTACAGATTTTTCTTCTCATTTTGCCTTGCATTCTTGTGAGCTCCAATATTTATGACTTTACACAAGGCTTATATTTTTGTCATAAAAATCCAATCAGTTTAATTTTCTATACTCTATCTAGATATAGATCCAAGAAGAGAAGGAATGGGTGTTTTACTGTGTCGAAGTTAACCCCATCATAACACTAGGTTGATGTTAATAAATACTAGCAACCAGAAAAAATAAAATATGAGAATTAAAAAAATTTCAAAGTTATACTCACTGCTGGTAGAGGACATACGGCTGTACTCAGACCTGCAAGACAAAGATTTTAGTTAGACCACATTCAGTCTAAAAGAGATAGTGAAAAATGTACCAAATCTAACTCACATTGCATATTAAGATAGTTTAATGCACATTTAGCATAATTTTTGTGCTAAGTTAATAAATGGAACAGATTTTGAACATGGCATCAGAAAAACTGGCATCTCACATGAATTTTGAAGGCACCTACATAGAGCGAGTAAAGCAACTAGGGTTTTATCTAAGGGCTATTTATGCTACCTAACTTCAGGCATAAAAAATAAAGCCCAGGAGACTCTATAAGGAAAAAATAGGCTGCTTCAAACACAGGCTAGGAGCAGAAATCTACTAGATTTTGACTCTGCTCCTCATCTTCCTCACCTTATGTCCTCTAAATGCTTTACAGATTATTTTTTTTTCTCTTTTTAAGAGAACTCTATTCAAAGAGCAGAATTTTTACTGGTCTTTGGTAACAACTAGCAGGGAAGACACAAAAGGAGTACCAAAATGTAAACATTTAGATGACAAAGCTTTCTGCTTTAGGAAACCTTTTTCCTTTTCAAGACTTGTCTCAGTAAAACTATAGGCCCACTGATTCTACTTGAGTGGATACTGGATGTTCTGGTTTCAGCTGGGATAGAGCTAATTTTCTTTCTAGTGGCTGCTACAGTTTCAGATTTGGTATGAAAGGAATGTCAATAATGCATTTATATATTTTTTTCGGTTTTATTTTAGCTCTAGTTGTTGCTAGGTGATATTTAGAGTATTCAAGGGTTTTTTTCAGCTTCCCATAGAAGCTGTGAAGGAGCATAGACAGAACAAGCTGGCCAATGGAATATTCCATACAATATACGTCATGCTCAGTATATAAACAGGGGTTGCCAGGGGGTGGGAATCTGCAATCACTGCTTAGGAAGGTGCAATTCACCAATTTACCAGGTGGTGAGATGACTTCTTATTGTTATTACTGATCTTTTCCTTTTCTGATATTGTTCTATTAAACTGTCCTTATCTCAACCAATGAGTTTGGTTTTTTCCTTTCCTTTCTCCTCCTTTTCTCCCTCTTCTCTGTGTCTTTCTAAAGGAGAAGAGGGAGAACTGCACGAGTGGCTGCATGGTCCTGGCTGCCTGCTAGGGTTAGACCATGACACTGGATTACCCGTGAGAACGTAAGAGCAGTTAAATATTTTCAGCAACAGTGCAATTAATTTTGCTGCTGCATATAACCCCAAACTCCTGAAAACCCCATTCTGGGGTGATTAAAACTCATAAACATGGCACATTTCTGTCCTGGAGATTCAGAAATACTAAGGCAAAGCAAATATGCCATCACTGAATATTAGGGGAAAAAAAATAATCATTTCCACTTCTGAGGCCTTACCTATGACTTCTGAGTGTTTAGTTTTGGAGTTCATAGTTACACAACCTCCCACTCGCTGGGTCCCAAGAACAGACCCCACTCACCAGAGTTCTCTGCCACAATTAATGTCTCCCATGTATGCCCTGCAGTGCCCTGAACGTAACAGGCAAACTGTTCAGGGAGCTCTAACACAGTTATTGAATCCAAACCCAAATGCTTGTTTTATATAAATAATTGCAACAAGTTTGTAATATTGCTTTAAATTAAAAAAACATGTGAGCCTTGACTCCTAAGGTATTTGTCTGGAAATAGGTACCATCTAAGGTATGGCCAGGACACCTCCATATGCTAGGGTCTCAGGCACACCAGGGAATAAAGGACATCAACCCCACATAACTATAGTGGCCACTTTCAATTGTAATATGGACATATCTCTGCAGAAAAAACAAAGCCATTACAGTCATCCCTCTATTTCAGAGCCCCGTGTTCAGCACTCAGCATTCTGCAGATCAGATGCTAAGACTGCTGGTGTAGGTGACAAAGTGAAAGGTGACACAACCTGAATTTTTCACAATACTCATGAAAAAAAAAATCCATCAATATCACCGAGTACTCTGAGGTTATGGTAGCTTTTGAATGAGGTCTGTGCAACGCTGGGGAGAGAGCTGCTGATGGGGGCTTGCAGCAGTCTCCCGCTCTCTCCTCTTTACTAAACCCTGCGCCCCCAGCCACTTCCATAACGCCAGGGAGGAGCAAGGAAAGGTCTTTGTCCCATATGGCAGACACCACAGGATTAGGTCATAGAATCATAGAATCATTCAGGTTGGAAGAGACCCTTGGGATCATTGAGTCCAACCACCAACCCTACTCTACAAAGTCCTCCCCTACACCATATCCCTCAGTACCCCATCTAAACGTCCCTTAAACACATCCAGAGATGGTGACCCAACCACCTCCCTGGGCAGCCTGTTCCAATGCCCGACCACTCTTTCTGTGAAAAATTCCTTCCTAATGTTCAGTCTAAACCTACCCTGTTGGAGCTTGAAGCTGTTCTCTCTCGTTCTGTCGTTAATTACCTGTAAGAAGAGACCAGCACCAACCTCTCTACAGTGTCCTTTCAAGTAGTTGTAAAGAGTGATGAGGTCTCCCCTCAGCCTCCTCTTCCTCATACTAAACAGTCCCAGCTCCTTCAAACGCTCTTCATATGATTTGCCTTCCAGGCCCTTCACTAGTTTCGTTGCCCTCCTCTGCACTCGCTCCAGCATGGTCATGAGCAGCCCCATATATACCTGCTACGTAGAGCCTCCTCCATGAATGATGCCGACCCCCAACCAGCCTCCCCCAGGACGCTTGTGTATCTCTGGGAAAGGCAGTAATGGCATGAGCAGAGGGAGGAGACCTCCTTCCCACTTGCTGGGCCACGTACACACCACCGGTCACTTGGGCAGGGACCAAGGGGAAGTGAGACCAGGGTCTGGGTGAGTAGTGCTGTGTGGGCCACAAAGCTGAGTGATATTTTCAGCAGCAAGTCACGTCGGTTCCCATTTTTGGCACCACGTTATCTTGGGAAGGGCGTGAAAACCACGGAAGGTATCGCTCTTCACAAGCCCAGAGGCAAGCAATATACATCCAGCTGCCTCCAAGCACCCCAAGCAAGGCTTCATTTAGCCTGCACTTCTGTTTGAAAACAGCCCGAGGCTGTCCTTCAGTGTATCTGTGTTCAGCAGTTGGCGGCTGATTCAATATGAGCCTGAGCTGCTTGTGTTTCACACAGAGGCAAAGACAACGTTTTGCCTTTTGCTTACTGCAAGCAGAAGCAGCTTGCTATTACTTCACACTGGTATTTTATTATCCCAAAGTGCTGCAGGCACGCTATAGGACGTGGAGAATTAATGAGTCCTGAACCGAGGAAGTGGCAGGCTCCGTACGGGCAGGACATGAAAAATGAGACAAGAGGAAAAATAAAAAGACGGGGAGAGAGAAAGGAGGAGACAACAGTGCGCTCGGAGACTAATTGCACAGACACGTTTTAATAGGCTTTAGAATTGTATTGTTTTTTTTTTTTTTTTGTAATTCTAATATGGTTCAAGCTAATATTTAATTCATGTTTGTTGCATAACTGACATACACAGAATTAAAAAAAAAAAAAAAGGATAATTAAGTTCAAAGGCTTATGTCAACCTCAGATGCTGAAATGAGGACTGTACCCTCCCTAAGCTCCCTCCCCCTATTGCCAATAAATGTCTGAAGCATGTCTCTTCCTTGCTGTTGTTTAGAGATGAAGCCTGCAGAAACCACATTCCTGATGTAGGACCCTCAGCTACATGTCTAAAGTCAAATGGGATGAATACGAGCCTCTCTGTCTGCTCTCAGGGCCAACCTGAATCACTCATCCTTCCTCTGATTCCTTCCTTTCTTAGAATTTCTTTGTCCTGAATCTAGTCCTTAAGAACAAAACCAATGGTGTTAGTAAAAACCTTAATATTTTCAAAACATTAGCACCAACCATTCAGATTCATGACACGCACAGGTAAGTGGCTTGCAAAATGCATTTTTTTTCCCCCTTAGCATCAGCTATTTAGGATACTAAATTCTGAAGTTTCCCATAAGCCTTTTAAGCTTTTTAAACTACTATACACAACAAACAAGATAACGCATTAAAAAAATTAAGTACTGAAATAAACATCTCCTGGGTCATGTACACCCTCTGGACATCAAGCGACTTTGTTCCTTCCTATTATTTCCATCCCTGTTTTAAACATCCCGAGTATCAGCTTCTATCAGATCCCTTGGAAGAGGATTTTCCCACTAGGGTAACTCAAGAGTAAAGCCCTCATGGGCTTTAATGGTGACAGGCTGGGGCCATACTGGGGCTCAGAGGTTCCAGGCCAATTACATGGTCTTGCAGCAAGCTATTTCCTCTGATAGATATTATTACATTATAGATAAAAGGAAAGAGATATTCAGGACAAAACTGAACAAATGGAGGACTGTTCCCTTTATAGGCACATAATGAGGAAAAAAATGATCAAAAAGGGTATTGAAGCAGTGGGAGGTACTGAAAAGGAGGGCTCATCGCTCAGTCAAAAGACACATCAGTCCGCAAAGAATGTGTTGCTTAACGGTTAGCCCACCAGCAAAGAGGAGCTGTGAACATGTCAAGAAACATTAAAACAGGAATGCAGAAGCTTGAGATAAGTGTGGGACCTCGATTCCCATTAGTGCCGTTGTAGGAACTGGAAAGTATGTTATTGGAGACCATAAGACCATCATGAGCGCAAACGATCCTCAGCAATCCTCCAAGACCAGTGTGCACTACTCATTGCTGATTAGTAATACAGAGCCTCAAAATACCCAAGAAAGGGAAACAGCCCACCGAACACCAGTAAGGAGCTGCTAGCACAACTTCAAGTTTCTGAGTATGGTATATAAAACTACTCTAAACCTGTTTCTTTAGGTAAGAAGCACAACCAAGTTACATCTCTGAGTCACACAAGCAACGTAGCTACATCAGCGTCACACTGTGCTTGGGTTACTCCAGTGTGCTGATCAGCCACGGCACACCATCAAGTTAACATGGCTACAGTGGTGACATCTATGCTAATAAAAAATCGTGCCCAAGAGAACCACCTGGGACCAAGGCCAACTGC